CTCCGCCTGCAGGAGCAGCATGAGCTCGGCGGCCTCGCCCACAGTGCCCACAGACGCGAGGGCGGCGCCGTGGCGGACCGTCGGCCCGCCGCGCACGCCTCGCCCCATCGCACCGTGGGGGGCCGCGCGCCAGGGGGCGGCGCGGCCGCGGCGCTCGCGAGGGCGCCTCCGCACGGGTCCCAGCGCCTGCCAGGCCCCTAAGCCAGAATGGCTACGGGAAGCAGGAGGAGGAGGAGGAGGAGGAGGAGGAGGAGGAGGAGGAGGAGGAGGAGGGGGAGGGGGAGGAGGAGGAGGAGGAGGAGGAGGAGGAGGAGGAGGAGGAGGAGGAGGACATGGAGGAGGAGGAGGATATGGAGGAGGAGGAGAATGGAGGAGGAGGAGGAGGAGGAGGAGGAGGAGGAGGAGGAGGAGGAGGAGGAGGAGGAGGGCGCCAGCCCCTTGTGACAGAGACTGCGCCTCCAGAGCCAGCTCCGAGCTCGCCTCGTGAGGACGGCGCTCGCCCTCCCCCTCCTCCCCCTTGTCCTCTTCCCCTCTCCTCCCTCGTAGGCCCCTGCGCTTTCGCGCCTGCCCCTCGTGCAGGAGCCTGGGCATGTGTGCCGCGCGACCCCTGCACGCTGTGAGATCTCGTCGGCATGCCCCATGCGGACACGGCCGAGGGGTCACAGCTCGGCCCATCGGTGACAGGGAGACGCCATTCCGGATAGCCCCACCAGCCCTCTGGGAGCGGATGGTTTAGATGGACAGCTCTTGCAATCCCCGTCTCCCTTTCCCCTACCCGCTCCACTGGGGTCAGGACCAGGGCCTCGCGAGAGGTAGGCGTCCGAGGTGACCCAAGATGGCTCCAAGAGGGCCCCAGGTAGCCAAAGATTGCCTCCAACAGAGCACAAGGTACCCCAAGGTACTTGCAGATAGCCTTTGGCATGCCTCCAGGAAGTCTCAAGACCACACCAAGACGGCTCCAAGTGGCCAAGGGAGCCTCCTAAGTAACTAAGGTGTTTGAAGGAGTCGGGCGTATCGGTGGTATCCTTGGGAGACACTTGGGCCAAGATGGCTCCAAGATGGCCCCAGACGCCTTGAGGTCGCCTCCAAGATGGCGCAAATGGTCAAAATTGGCTCACGATGGCCTCCAGCATGCCCCAAGACGGCCCTTAAGGCTGCCCCAAGTGGCCCCGAAGCTCCCCGACGCCACGGGAAGCCAAAATCACTCCAACAAGTCATGTGTTTCAATGCTGCTTGCCGTCTTGACGTTTCGCTTCCCATGGGCTCCCGAGGCATCCAGGATGGCCCCGAGCTCGCCCGGGAGAGCCCATGCCCACGAGCGCCCAAAGTGGCTTCCTGAGCGAAGCCCGGAGCACGCTCCCCAGAGCACGCTCCCTAGCACGGCGTCCGACGGGGAGCCCGCAACTAGCACCCCCTCCTTCGCTCAAAGTCCGAACCACTACAAAGCCCCCAAAATACGTAATCGAAAGATGTTGGCCTCTCGGGTGGCATCCTTGGGAGGCGTGTGGGCCGAGATGGCTCCAAGAAGGCCCCAGAGGTCTCAAGATGGTCTCCAAAGCGGGCGCGAGATGATCCGAGTTACCTAGCTCAAGCTGGCCTCCAGCATACCTCCAGGAGATCACAAGACGCCCCCAGGCAGGCCAAACTCCGTCAAAAACCTCACGAGATTCCATGTCGTTTGCCTTCGCTACGTGTTGCTTCTGATGAAGTTCTTTCTGACACCTCCAAATGGCTCCAAGTTCGTCCCAGAAAGCCTTTCGGAGCTCCGAGGCTCCAAGAGCGCCCAAGCGCGCCACATAGCGACCTAAGAGGGCCCCGAAAGACAATTCCTCTGGCTCGACTTTGTCATACAGAAATGTGGCTAGCGGGGACCCCAAGCAGTGATTTCTTGCAATCTATGCGGTGCAATCTAGGTGGTGCCATCCATGTGGTGCAATCTAGGTGGTACAATCCATATGGTGCAATCTACGCAGCGCAGAGCACTGCAAAGCAATGCAAAGCAATGCGAAGAAATACAAAGCAACAAACAGTATTGCAAAACAATTCGAAGTAACGCAATGCAATGCGATTGCAATGTAATGAAATGCGATTGCAATGCAATGCGATGCAATGCGAGCTCGTAACGCAGCGCAATGCGATTGCAACGGGCGGGAGGAAGGTGCATCGGGGCGCCTGCGACGGGAGGGAAGGGGGCCGCAACGGGGCTGCACGCGAGCCTTCTGCTAGGAAATGCTGCGGCGACGGACAGAAACGGCGGCCGCTGGGGCCGCACCCGGGCCCAGTTCCTCAGAAGAGAAGCGGGAGCCCATCTGGGCAAACACGGATTGGGCAACGCAGCGCCACGCCCGATCGGCCCAGGAACAGTCCTAGTGCAGAACACGGGACTAAACATGCACGGCGATAATACCTTTCGAACCTCGCCAGGAAATCTGTGGATGATGTCCTGTAAAGGCACCTGCTGTGCGTCTAAGCTAATCAAGCCACCAGCAACCGCAACCGCAACAACACTGATTGGTGAGTATCGTTTAATCGATACCCATCCCCAGCGGCGTGGCCTGGGCCCCACTGGCCGATTTACCCCCCTAGATTGGGATATAGGCCGTCCCTTCGGGTTTCGAGGGGTGTATCCCCAACTGGGGGGGTAACTTGGTGGGGGTCTCGAAGGGGATGAGGATGGGGATGGGGATTGGTTAGACGATACCGAATTGGGGGCAAAAATGGAACCCATATGTCAGCCAATGGGGTCGGCACTCGGACGCTCCCCCGCGGTACGGCCACCCACGGGGAGGCCATAGCTAGGAGCCCCCTTCCTTCGCTCAGAGTCGATATCGCCGACCAGCCACAACTGGGGAAGCTGCGGTCCTTACCCCCCCCCCCGGAACCCATCGCCTCGACGATCTCTCGAGAGGGGTGTCGAAATCGATGGGTCCCCCAGAGGGGAAGGACCACAGCTCCCCCAGTCGTGGCTGGCCTGATATCGTTGCAGATTGAACTGTTCGGAAGATGTTGGCCTTCCGAGAGCACCCTAGGGAGGCGTTCGGGCCAAGATGGAGCCAAGATGGCCCCAGACGCCTTGAGATCGCCTCCAAGATGGCGCAAATGGTCCAAGTTGGCTCACGATGGCCTCCAGCATGCCTCTAGCAGGCCCCAAGACGACCCAGAGACTGCTCCAAGTGGCCTCGGAGCTACCCGAGGACGCCCCCGAGAGACAAGAATCCGCCGACCCCCACTTGCCGGGGGTAATAAGGCGTGAGACACAGTTGGCTGTCTCCCTCCCCATTTCCCTCTCCCCTGGGTGGGATGGGGGGCACGAGCTCGCCAACGCACCCCTGGGGTCTCCGGAGCCCCCAAAAAGCTCCAAGGCAGCCCAACAGAGCCCAGACAGAGCGGCAAGACAGTCGAAGAGAGCGTCATGACGGCCCAGGGAAGCCCCACGACGATCCAAGATGGCTTCAAGATGGCCCACGAGGCCCCCAAGACAGCCCATAAGCGCCTCCAGAAGACCGCCGAGAGGGCCCCAAGAGACCCAAATCATCCTATTCCCTGAGAAAAACGTACATGTTCAGCACATCCGCATTGTACTTTTCGACTGCGAAAACGACGGCGCAAGTGGCCCACAAGGTCGTCCCAAGATCGTCCAAGAAGGCCCCAAGACGGCTCAAAAGGACCCAAAGACAGCCCCAGGGACCCCCCAAGACGGCCCAAGACAGCCCCTAGAGGGCCCCAATAGGGCTCCAAGGAAGCCCAAGGGGGGGAGTACGAACTGACATGTCGAGCCTTTCCCACCAAGATGGCCCCTCGAGCCCCACAGAGGCCCCGAGGCCCCTCCCAGAGGCCCCAAGATGCCCCCAAGACGCCCCCAAGAAGCCCCCCAGAGGCCCCCACGAGGCCCCCAGAAGCCTCCCCGATCCCCCAAGAGTTCCCCAAGAGGCCCCTGAGAAGGCATCCCAAAAAACCCTCAGATTCATCCACGCCCTCATATGCATCCAAGAGTCTGCTGACCCAAGATTTGACTTCCACGATCGTCTCAAGCACTCAGTCCTTGTGGGGGGCGGCGGAATGGCGCAAGCCACTTGAATCAGTTTCACATCGGCTCTGCCTCAATGTTGATTGGCTTCTCGCCGATTCGCCTGCGATTGGCTTCTGAGGCATAAAAATGGCTCCAAGGTCGCCTCAGAGATCCCCAAGAACAGCTCAAAAAGGCCCCGAGACGGCCCCAACTGGGACGTCTGGACAGCCGCGTCTGATCAGCACGCACACGAAGCACAGAGCCACGAACTGAACACACGTCGCTAACATACACGTTGCAATGCAACAGAGAGAAGACAAGGCGAGCGAGCGAGAGAAGAGGAGCAGGAGAAGGGAAAGAGCAGCGAAAAACTATTAAAATGCAGCTCGCTGGGCCACCTCGAGACCCTCGCCTCCAAGGAAGCTCCAAGATGGCCCCAGGAAGCCTTCGGAAGGCTCCCAGATCGAACGAACCGCGAAGGCCTTTGTGAGTGACTCCTGCAACCGATCAAGCCCATCCCGAGCTTCGGCTTGACGGCTGCCTCCCCTCACTGTTCCGCTGCGTGCTCCTACACTGACTACCTACCAGACCACCCCAACCCAACCCGAAAACCCGGATTTCGGGTTGGGGGGGGTAAGGGTTCCATCTGTGTTTTGTCAGTATTCCCCGACCCCCCCACCACTGGAAATGGAAAGCAAATTGGGGCCTTCGGGTTGGGTTGGGGTAGTTTGGTGGGTGGCGATACACTTCCGTGACCGATGCAATTCGCCAGGGGATCGTTTCTGGATGGGCGGGTGTGGACAAAGCGAAGCTTCAACAATTTGGCACTCTACCATTCCTCCCTCCTCGGCGTGTCATTTCTTACAAATGCTACTCTCGCCCCCCATGAGGTAGGAGGGGGGGAGAGGGGAGATTGATCAGACTGGTGCTCGTCTCGAGAGTCGTATCCTCCCCATGATCCCCACATCCGTGTATGAAGAGCGGTAGAAACCGGCCATCTGGTCGTTGAGGATACCGGTGTACTCTACTTCGACGACGCCAGCACCCACCGGGAGAACCTCCTCGAACGTGGCCGTCAGGGTCTTTTCCTTCAGGTTCTGCGCCAAGGAGACCGCTGCAATGGCCTCGCCTGCGCGGATGACGAGGATGAGGAGGAAGATTTCGGCGGCCTCTGTCCCTCATCTTATTGTGGCTGCTGAGACCACCGATACGGGAAGCAGTTCGATCGGCAAAACGAAGCCACACCGATGCCTCAAACGGCAACGGCAACGGCAACGGCAACAGCCCCACGCGCGTGGCGCCATGAAGGCGCGGCGGAGGGGGCGTCGAGGCGCCTGCATGGAATCAAGTAGGCAAGGCGCGCACGTGTGGGACACTATGCAGGGGAAGCATCTAGATTTAGATGGGAGGAGGAGGAGGAAGAGGAGGAGGAAGAGGAGGAGGAAGAGGAGGAGGAGGAGGAGAAGGAGGAGGAGGGAGTAAAGAGCAGACGAGGAGAAGGAGGAGAAGGAGGAGGAGGAAACCAGGAGGAGGAACCCATGGAGGAGGCGGAGGAGGAGGAGGAGGAGGATAAGGAGCCCAGGAGGAGGAGGTGGAGGCTGGAAGCGAGGCTCGAAAAGCCGGAGGCAAATCGAGCGCGCGAGCGGGGCGTCGGGCAGACGGGGCACGCGCGGCCAGGCGCGCGTGCCCGTGCCCGGCTGGCTGGGCAGGGCCCGCCAGGCCGTGGCCTCTGACGAGGGTGTCGGGATCCCGCTCGGGGAGGAGACTACGAGGAGGAGAAGATCGAGCAGAGGAGGTGGTCGAGGAGGACCAGATCGAGGAGACGAGGAGGAAATCGAGAAGAGGACGAAGACATCGAAGAGGAAACCGAAAAGAAGAAAGAAATCGCCGAACTCCCAGTTCATGGTTCCCAGTTACCAAATCCGGGCTCCCGGCTCCCAGTTCCCAGCCCCTGGGTCCCAAATCCCAGTCCCCAGCCCCCGGCTTCGGGTTCCCAATTCCGGGTTCCCAGAGAAGGAGGAAGAAGAGGAAGGGGAGGTAATCGAGGAGGAAACGCTTGGAGACGTTTGGGGCCTTCGGCGGGCACGAACTTCACCGACGACACCTGCAGCTCGAAGGCGTGCATGACGACATCGCTCGTGGCCTCGCGCACGTCGACGGTGATCCGCGCCTCGGAGGGGTGAGGAGCCTACACGAGGACACATCATATCTCCTCCTCCTCCTCCTCCTCCTCCTCCTCCTCCTCCTCCTCCTCCTCCTGAGGCCCTCGCCGCCAGGCAAGGCCTGCAAGTCCTCCCACCTCGAGCGCTTCCTCGTGCGACAGGAGGCGTGCACCGCTGCTCTCCAAGCCCAGACTGGGCCGCTGCAGCTACGCCAAGCTTGTCCAAAAGTACCCATCCGATGTCGATGCTGTCTGTCAACGCCCCGGTCCAAGGAAGCCCCGGTTCAGGAGCGAGCTACTGAAACTGGGCAGGGAATTCAAGATCAGCTGCAAAACGCTGCATCTCGCCCTCACGCACAAACCGGGCTCCAGCCGTGACTCACCAGGGTCCACGGCCTCGGCCGATGCCCACCAGAGCATCGGCACCACTGCCACAGATACTCTCCTAGATCACTCGGATGCAGGCTGCCCAGGTCGACGACGCGGAGGAAGCCTGCCAGGCACAGGCCCCCCTCGCCAGCGACGCCGAGCACGACGAGCACACGTGCGACCTCGACTCCGCCCACGGCCCCGGCGCCACCCCGGCAACTGGCGTCGCCCACGACAGCCTCCTGCGAAGCCTCGCCCAGCGATGCCGCGGCCCCGGCGCACTACGTCGACCCTCTGGTCGAACACGAGCCCACTGTGATGGGCAAGTTTTCCACCACCACTACCATATGTAGGACAGGGGAGAAGGGAGGATGAGGAGGTCCGCCTCATCTTCCTCCTCCTCCTCCTCCTCCTCCACCTCCTCCTCCTCCTCCTCTTCCTCCTCCCCCTCCTCCCTCTCCTACCTATGGTAGTGGTGGTGGAACATGGGCCCATCACACTGGGGGGGCCAGCGTAGCGACTGAGGATCTGCGGGATTCCGCCGTGATCGCCCCAGCACTAAGCCAGCCTCGGCGACAACCGCAGCGCGGCGAACAACAGCGCCAGCGCCACCACCTACAGCGTCGGTACCAGCCTACATGACAGCAATCACAGAAGAGGAAGAAGAAATAACGGCACATACATAAGTGTTGGGCGCTGCGTGCGGATTTCTTGGATCTGCGCTCGACCCCCCTCCCTGGCGCGCGGAGCGGGCCTCCTCCTCCTCCTCCTCCTCATCCTCCTCCTCCTCTTCCTCCTCCTCTCGGCGGCGAGCCCGGGGGGGAAGTGAGACGGGGAAGTTTGGGGAGTTTCGGGTTCGAGGGTCGAGTCGTCGGTTTTCGGCTGTTTTCCAGCCTCGGGGTGTGCTCCAGCAGCTGCGCCTCGCCGAGGGCGTTGCGGGGGTGCCCGGATCGCCCCGAACAGTCACTGGAAAGCCGAGTTATGACCGAAAAACCACGAGGAGTCCCAAAGGGGGCGGGCCTTCTCAGAGGGCTCGGAAGTCCCCTGGCCTTCTGAGAAGTGTTCGGAACCCTCCCCAGGAGCACAGAGAAAACTTGTTCAGAAGGCGCGAAGGCTTCTGAGAAGTCCCGCCGACTTCTGAGAAGGCCTTTTCCTCCTCACTTCCCCCCTTCCCTCGCCGCCGACCTTCACGCGCGCTTCCACATCCTGGAAGGCACATCCAAGAAGGCACCAAGGTGACGGTCAATAACCACGGCAAGAACCCCCATCAACGACCGCCACGGCACGGTCATCGACGAAACGGGGGATCAGAAGCAGCACTGGGCGGTCCTGCTGACCAAGGGCAAAACGGCCTAGCTGATCACGTCAAGCTTGACTGCTTTCTCCCCTTGGGAGCCGAAGCCCCCCAAGGAGGCCGAGCATGCGGGAGGTAATCCTGCACCAACGTCAGCGCCCAGGTCGACAGCGACGCCAGCCCCGTCGACATCGAGGTCCACGGCAGTGTCACAAGGCCCGCCTGCGCACGCGCGGATGCCCAAGCCGGTTCCTGAGCTCGCATCGCCGATGCTAGACTTCGCACCAGCGACCGCGGCACCGACAGGGCTCACGCACACCCTGGGGCAAGCGGCTTGGTCTGCAGCAGCGCGAACACCTTCGCAAGCTCCGCTCGGGCGCCGTTCAGCGCAAACGCCGACGCAGACCCCAGGCCCCCGGTCGGCCTGCTTCTTCCCGGCGCCCCGGAATGCGTTGCTGAGATCCCTTACGAGGCCATCGGCACGACTACCTACGAGTTCCCGACCGACAAAGGGACGCACCGATGAGCCACCGACCTGCGGAGGTGGCTCCAACGCGGGCTAGATCCGCTACTCCCTCGGTGCTGCGTGAGGGGCGCCAGGATCGTTCATGACACAGGGTGCGTTATGCAGCACAGTTTTGTCATTCCTGCCGTCGCGGTGTGCTCGACGGTCTTAGCTTGCCTCGGCTCGTATGCTTTTTTTTACAACCGCTGGGCCACGCTCCGCGGAGCCCCACTCCAGTGCGCCACACCAACAGCGCCCCTCGTAGCGGCCGGCGCTACTAAGTTGCCCCCCTGACCAGGGCGAGCGTACGCCTTTTCCTGCCCGCCCTCGTGATCGCCTCAGCACCCAGGTCGCATCGCCGGCGCCTCGCTGGCACAGGCACTACACAGCCTGCCCACCAGGGCCCGCGGGCACGGCATCGGGCTGCACGCCTCGGAAAGCGCAGACCCCCGGACGTCGCACCGCGACGCAGTTGAGCAACACGCCGGCACCCAGCCCTGCAAACCCCGACGACCCCTTTCAGCCCCCAGCGGCCCCCAACGGTCCCCTCGGGCGCCCCGGGGGCCCCCCACGGGCCCTGGCGGCTTCGCACCCAGCCACGTGAGCCACGTCCGCCACCAGGCCACGGGAGCCACCAGGCCACGGGAGCCAGCGGGCCACCAGAGCCACAAAAGCCACGGAAGCCACGTGAGCCACCTGGCCACGGGAGCCACCAGGCCACGGAACCGAGCAGTGCCACGGCGGCCATACCGACCCTCTCGAACGTCAGGGCGGCATCCAAGCCTGTGAAGCTGAACCGCCTCGCGGTGTCCACCAGGACAACGGCACCCAGCCACGCGACCCGCGTGAGCCACCAGGCCACAGGAGCCACCAGGCCACGGGAGCCACCAGGCCACGTGAACCACCAGGCCGCGGGAGCCACCAGGCTCGCGCTGCCGAGTGTCTGCTGGCTGCCGACGGTGGCCCCCAGACCACCAGGCCCAGCCCTCTGACCAAGGCATCTGGCCATAAGAGGTCGCTGGCCAGGCCCATGGTCAGGCACTACACGAGCCGCGACATGTGCCAGACCATGGGACACCCTACGCACCACCCCACGAGGTTCTCTCCACGGCGCACTCTTACGGGGCACTCTGCGAGTCGCCCTACGGGCCGCCACGCGGGCCACCTTTCGAGCGCCTCTCACCAAAGAGGCCCTTGCGTCTGCTTGACACCATGGGCCGCACCGTTGGCCACCAAAAGCCACTCCAGGGGGGCTCTCCACGGACAACTCCACCAACAGTGCGACGAGCAACACGTTTTTGTGCAGCACGTTTGGGACCAGCACGACGGCGTCGAACACCACGAAGATGAGAATGTGTCAAGGCCTTCCGATAGCCATGCTTCACTTGGGCAAGCGCATTCAACAGCTTTTCGCTCCACTCCCGGAATCTAGTCCGGTCACCTGAGAACGTTTCTGACTGTTGAACCGCCTTGTATTCGCTCACGGATTTGCTTCCACCTCCTCCAGCCCTGGCATTTCCAGCAGATCGCATAGCCTCCGCCATCTTAGTAACATGTTCCGAAGCGTTCGTTTGAAGTCGAACGTATGTCCTGACGCGTTATGTCAAGATGTTGACTTGTTCATCGCAATGCATGTTGCGGCTGATGGCCCATAACAAGATAAAGATCAATATTATATTTAATATGCAACCGCGTGTATGCCTCGTGATTGTCAACCGTTCTGCTGACTGGCGTAGCACTGCGTTCGAAGAATAACATACCTGAAATATCCGTTCTCGTAAGCAGCAATGCACGATTCCGCGAGTCGATTCGTGCGCAGGTTGTACCAAATTTCTCGGTCCGCGGATGACGCCACATCGGGACCCAGGTCGGCTGCACCCAGGATTGGCGGAGCTGTGGCGGCTGCCGCCGCAGCAATTACAGAGAGGCGAGTGCTCCGCGGAGTTCACCTCCGCTACCATGAAATTCTGCCAGGAGACTTTTTTCCCTGCAGGCAAATAGAACTTGAGCCAAACACCAGTGGTACTCGGCAAACACGTAAAGCAGTCCCGAGCGTATTGGGCAAATCAAACTGCATTCCTCCAGGCGTGGGGAGGACGATGTTTACACATCCCTCTCCTCCTACTTTTCCGCCTCCTCCTCCTCCTCCTCCTCCTCCTCCTCCTCATTATCATCATCATCATCATCATCATCATCATCATCATCATCATCATCATCATCATCATCACCACCACCATCACCGCCACCATCACCATCATCATCAGCAGCAGCAGCATCATCTGCATCATCATCACCATCAGAAGCAGCATCATCAGCATCAGCATCATCAGCATCATCACCACGATATCATCATCATCATCATCATCATCATCATCATCATCATCATCATCATCATCATCATCATCATCATCATCATCGCCACCACCACGGTCACAGTCATCATCATCACCATCGTCACCATTGTCATCATCGTCATCAGCATCACCATCACCATCACCATCACCATCATCATCATCAGCAGCAGCAACCTCAGCAGAATTAGCATCAGCAACAGTAACATAATCATCATCAACATCATCGTCACCATCGTCACCATCATCATCATCATCATCATCATCATCATCATCATCATCATCATCAACAGCATCATCATCATCATCATCATCATCATCATCATCATCATCACCATCGTCATCATCATCAGCATCATCATCATCATCAAGTTCGTTCTCCTCATCCCCTCCTCCTCCTCCTCCTCCTCCTCCTCCTCCTCCTCCTCCTCCTCCTCTTACAACTACCCTTGTCATGCCAGCGCTTACGCAAAACGGTCCCTTACACCGA